GTTTGTGCTCAGAAAGCCTAATCCTGGTCCCGAAAATGGCCAGGTTCATGCGTTCTGCAGAGTACTAACCGTGTGCTTGTTCTGTGTTTTCTGTGTTTTCTAGGTTTCCTGTGTTTTCTGTGTTTTCTGTGTTTTCTGTGTTTCCTGTGTTTCCTGTGTTTTCTGTGTTTTCTGTGTTTTCTGTGTTTTCTGTGTTTTCAGGAGGGGGGCAAGACTGAAATTGGGATGTGATGGACAACTGGTAGAGGCTAGGATGAAAAGGGACCAAGTACAGGACGGGTAATACCCATCTATGATTTTCCAGTGGCTTGGGCAGGGCCAACAAAGGTCCGTAGGTCCGGTAGCTTAGAAAAGGTCACGAGTAGTCAGGCCCGAATCTAGACATCTGGTAGGTCAGATTCAGGCCCTGAGTTAAGACTTGCAGGCTGCTATGATGTTCCTGCCAAACAGCAGGAGCCTCGGGAGGCCTACCTTCTTCCCCTGAATACAACGTACGGTCATTATAGCTGTATTTAAGCTGAAAGATACCCCACATATAATTACTGAATGTTGTATTTGCGAGAAGAAGGTAGCACACTGCCAAGTCACCCGGTACTGCGGCCTAAATGAAGCCGTGAGCTCAGGGTAGAGAGTATATCATTTCAGAGAATGAGTGGAGCGGTATCTGACCCCGCGGTCATGCTGCTGCTCCGCCCACAGGGGAAAGTTTGGGAGCAGTGCCCGGGGAGCTGTGGAGCTGGAGGGTGAGGTAGAAGACCTCCTTGGCTGTGGAGACCGAAAAGCAGGGCGCAACCCTGGCTATGGTGGTAGAGTGTGAACGGCCCCATGCCAGAGGAAGGAGAAGGACAGGAGGGAGTAGGAGGTGAGGGGGGGGAGAGAGAGAGAGAGAGAGAGAGAGAGAGGGAGAGAGAGAGAGAGAGAGGAACCGCCACAAAGAAACTCGCCATGGCTATGATTGACCTTCATATTCGGTCCCTTGGTTGGCGCTGCATCAAGAAGGCCTCAGTTTGGTTCCCTGACTGGTCTTGGACATCCTCCGCGAGTGTGGCTATGGGAGGAAGGGATGGGGCTAGCACAGTAGTGTTTGCATTGTCCTTTGAACATCCGTGACGAGTATGGATGTTCCTCCACAGCCATGGATGCTACAAGAGGAGAGAAGTGAGGTTAGGCTGAAGGGTGGTTTCTTGAGTTGCAGGCAGCAAGGGGGGAACACCCAGACATGATTCCTGTTCAATCATTCATTTGTTGTTATATCTAAATTGCACTATAAGACGAAGTAAAGAAAAAGAAGAGGGATGAGCAAGAAGGAGGGGGAAGACATAAAGATTAGATTAGATTAGAAAAGATAGAATCAAAGGAGTTTTTAACCTTTTAGTAAAAATTAGAGGTGTAATTTGTACTAAAAAGTTAAAAACTCCTCTAGTGTAATTTGAAAAGAAAGAATCATGGTTACCAACCGAACATCCGGATCCGGATCCTGATCCAGACAGTCCGGTGTCCAGATTGGAGGGTCCGGTTGGACCCGAATTCGAAAAATTCAAAAAAACAAATTCGGGGTCCCAGGCCGTTCACCTGGGCCTGGGGATACCCCGGAAAATTGAAAGTAATGTTTTTTGAAATGCGTTACCCCAACCGGACAATCCCTTAAAGGGCCTCTGAGTGGAATTTTCAAACATGCTGGAGCATACTAGCAGCACCGCTGGCGGGAGGAGGACGCAATTTTTCGTACGTCGAAGTCCCCGCCCGCCCCACGAATAGATTGGAGCCTATGTTTGGACTCTGCAGCGGCGGGGTAGCTGGATCATGGGGTCGTGGGAGTGGAGCACTATGTGATGTTTTGTACGAATCGAGACTTCTGCTTCCAAGGTGACTTCACGCAGAGACGGGATCTCCAGTAATTTCTGAGGCATGATCTAAATCTGCCGTTGTTTTTCTTGATATACGAATCTCAGAGAAAAATTCATGCCGTGGAGGTCTGCCCTGCTGCCGTCTGCCTGTCGAAGCTCCACCATAGCCGTCTTGCCGTCGAAGGTCCACCATCGAGGTCAGTCTCTCTCTCTCTCTCTCTCTCTCTCTCTATATATATATATATATATATATATATATATCGTAATATATATATATATCGTCACAAACAGAACTGC